CTGGGAACCAACTACCTCATCTTTCTCCTCAGGAGTGGCGGGTAGGTTTGAACCACTGACCTCACGGCTCAGCAGTCAAGTGCCTAACTCAGAGCTCCTTATGGCCCAGTGCCCAAACCTACTGCGATCAAACTGATTTTAACTCACAGCAACCTTAGAAAGAGCTTCCCACTAGATTTTTTTTCCTTTTGAAAAAAATGTTTTAATCATTTTATTGAGGGCTCGTACAGCTCTTATCACCATCCATCCATTGTGTCGAACACATTTGTACAATTGTTACCAGCATCATTTTCAAAACGTTTTCCTTCTACTTGAGCCCTTGGTATCAACTCCTCATTTTTTCCTTCCCCCCACACTCCCTCCCTCACCCTTGATAATTTATAAATTATTATTAGGTTCTCATGTCTTACACTGACCGCAGTCTCCCTTCACCCCCTTTTCTGCTGTCCGGCCCCCTGGGAGGGGTTATATGCAGATCCTTGAACCGCCAACCTTGAGGTGAACAGCCCAGTGCCCAACCCACAGCGCCACCAGAACTCCTTCTGATAGAGTGTAAGTTTACTGTTTGAAACATCTGAATCTGACACCCTCGGCCTAAGGGTGGGGGCGGGTCTTGGCCTTCCTGATCCCTGCCCTTGGTGTCCAGCCCAGCGTGGATGGAGCACTTGTCAGGTGAAGGAGAACCGGCTGGGAGGCCCAGGGGCAGAGAGCAGAGAGCAGGAGGGGGCACTGTGCACCTGAGGGTCCTGAGTCACTTAGGGGGAAAGTCCAGCTTAAACGGAAGCTGGAGAGAAAGGGGTGCAGAGCCTCACAGCCAGGCCCGTCCCAGAGCCCGGTTCACTTTTAAACATCACTCTTGCTGCAGAGTGGAGACCAGACTACACAAGAGAGCCTTCAAGAAGCAAGATAGCAGTTGTGGGCAAGCAGACCAGTAATGAGTTCCCTGTGACCAGGGGTATGCAAGCAAAGGCTGCAGGGGCCAGGTGGCTGTCAAGGAGAGTGCGACTGAGGGGAGAACTGGGATCAGTGGATTTGGCCCGACACCCCAGGTTTCTCAGCCCTGCCCCCCTACCTTCAGGACGATCCCTGGCCTCACCCCACCCCTTGAGCCCGGGGCCCGTCCAGACCTGGCCTGGAGCCCACGCACGCGAGCCTGCATCCGGGGAAGGAGGCGGAGGCGCTGGCGGGAGATGCAGGC